AAAAAAACGGGAAGAAGAAGACAGGAGGATTGAAAAAAAGGGGAAGGGGGAGAGAGAGATCAGAGAATGACAAAAAGAAAAAGAAGACAAAAAGAAGAGGAAAAGTAAGAGAGGGAAGAAAGAATAGAGGAAAGAAAAGAAAAGGGGAAGTGGAATCAAAGTCTGATCTCTGATGCTGGTAACGAAGAAAAAGAAAGTTTTGGGAAGAGAGAGGCGCTTTGGGAAGAGAAAAGAAAGGGAAAAAAATAGAGTGTTTAAGTGGGAAAAAAATATAAGATATTTTAAAATAAAATATTAATTAATTAATATAATCCGGTTCGGTCCGGTCCGGGCCGGTTCTGTAGTACGTAAAATCAGAAGATATATTTATTTTAAATTAATAAATATATATAACATAATATAATATAACAATTAAAAAGTTTTAATGTATAAATAACTAATTAAATAATATTAAATTAAGTTAGATTACTCTATTAAAGTAACATGATTTTCCGGTTCAAATGCCCACCCCTATAATGTACAGCCACATATCCTTTTCTTGCGCAAGTTTTTTTCATTTTCCATTAATTTTTACCCCATTTTTTCAAACAAAATTATATTATTTTATTATTTTTGTCAAATTGAATTGAAATGAATTTGAGTAGTTGAGTGAAATTTTATAGTTCAATTTAATTTAATTAAGTTGAATGATAGTTTAAGGTGAAAGTGAAGTGTAATATGGATAGTTTTTATATTTTTTAAATATATAATTGGGGATTCGGGTCGGGTTTGGGATATAGTCCCTCGATGGGGAAGGGGATGGGGATTCTCCGAAATTTCATACCACCATCCTCGTCCCTCTCCCATCTAATGTGTTTTTATTTATTGTTTAAAAATTAATTTTTCTGCACATGTTTTTTTGGCTGAAATATAGTAATTTAATTCAACTAAACTAACAATACAAGGCCCACATTTTAACAATAAACACTAAAATATTTTAATGCGACCTTAAATTTTTGTGTGCATTAAAAACATAAAACATAAAAAACACGATGACAGTGGTATTTCTATACGTGCATGATGGGCATGCACATGATGCAATATTGTTTTTTTTTTTTCTTTCTTGATGGCAAGAAATCTATATATATAAAGCAAAAGGCAGAGAATGGTGAAACATTCAAAATACCATAAAATGCCCATGGTTAATGCAAACATTAAGAATTGAAATTATTAATTAAATGAGGATAATATGGTAAATTCACACTTTTATATTTTAAAAAATTAAAATTAAAAGAAAAATTAGATAATTACCTATTTTTGTGGAACACAACTACCCATTATATTTTTTAATTCTAAAATAAATTTTAATTTTTTTAATAAAAGCCTCTCGCAGGCGCAAAAGCTCTTGCAGAGAGGCTACTTACTGATAATCCAGTCCCTTTTTCAATAAAGCTTATGGTTATTTATTTCTACAATTGTCTCTAATACCCTTCTGATAATCCAGTCCCTTTTTCAATAAAGCTTATGGTTATTTATTTCTACAATTGTCTCTAATACCCTTGTAATCATGACACGACATCGCTATAATTATCGTATGGTTTTTATATTATTTTTTTCTCTTTCTGCTACCCAACAAACACACTTTTGCTACGTTTTTCACACACAAACCTTACCCACCCATACATTGTACCCGTCTTAGAGCAAGTCCACCCCAAAAGGCTAAGGCAAGGCAAGGGCTGCCACTATTCATGTGAATAATGTCAGCCTTGCCTTTTTTAGTTCCACCCCAAAAGGCTAGGGCAAGGGAAAAAAAACAGATTATGCAACAAAATATAAACAATTTAGAAATGTAAGAAATAAAATGATTATGCAAGAAAAAAATTAATATGGAAGAAAATATAAAAAGTTTACAAATGCAAGAAAAAAAATGATTACAATTTACAAATATTAGAAGGAGAAGAGTTTGCATGAGGATTTGGTGTGGAAAGTGAATAAAATTGTTTTGTATTTATAGGGAAAACATCCATAATTTTTTGGTTTTTTTTATTTAATTTTTTTGGATTTTTCGCTCGCTGACGTCAGCGCCTTCAGGCTTGAGCCCAGGCAGGATTTGCCCATGGGCTTGCCCAGGCTGGTGGGTCCCAGTGCTTGCCCGGGTTGGTTTTGTTGAGCTGGAGGGGGATTTGGGCTCTTGGGGGGCTTGTTGCCAGGCATGGCCCCTGCACTGGACATGTTCTTAGAGCACCTCCACCCCAAAGTGCAAGGGCAAGGCAAAGGCAAGGCAAGGTTTGTCAGTATTCACATGAATAGTGGCAGCCTTACATTTTTTGGTTCCACCCCAAAAGGCAAGGGCAAGGGCAATTACTATTCACTTTAATTTATTTTCTATTTCTTATACTTAAACCATTAATTTTGATAAGCTTTTCGGATAAGATTTTCAGTTGTCACGTGTCACTATTTATTATAAAATTCTCACCTAAAATTTCAGATAACATTTTCAGATAAAATTTTCAATTTAAATTTTCGGATAAGATTTTTGATTGCCACGTGTCCATATTTATTATAAAATTCACATCTCACTCATCATACAATTGAAATACTCCAAGTCCTCATAGTCCGACACAATCGACGTGGGGGAGTATTTTCCTTCGGATGACGTAATAGTGCTGTTATTTCCTACACGGAACGCACCACTGGAACCAACTACGGGCATTGTTCACTTGAGGAGCCTCCTCTTTTTTGTTTTGCCTTGAATAATCTATTAAAAAACATGAAATTGAAAATGCAAGAAATATAACAAAAAAAATGACATTAAATTGAATAAAATGGCAATTAATTTCTTTTACCTCGTCGCCAAGATTTTGACCTCTTCGAACGTTTGTCCACGACCCTCCGACTTCGATGGAAGAGGCCATTTCTATTTTTGCACAAATGGAATTTTGTAGTAGAAATTTTGGTGTGGAAAGTGAAAAATATTGGAAGGAGATGAATTTGTATGAAGATTTGGTGTGGAAAGTGAATAATATTCGTAGGTATTTATAGTAAAAATTTCCATAATATTTTGATATTTTTTTACAAATTTTTTTTGATTTTTTTTCAATTTATTTCAGCCAAAAATTGGACAACCATTGGATTAGATAAGATTTTTGGATTGGAGGCTCCAGGAGAAGCCACTAGGCTTGGAGCCGTTGGTTTCTGTGGGTTGGTGGGTCAGTGCTGACGTCAGCGTGGTGTCACGCTGAGGTTAGTAGCCTTCGGGCAACAGCCCAGTCCAATTTTGCCTGTGGGCTTGCCCGGGCTAGAATGTGCACGCAAGAGATGGGTTTGAGGCCTAGGGCAGCCTTTTGCCCTGGGCAAGCCCCTGCGTTGGACTTGCTCTTAATGATTTCTTTTTTTTGGCTTGCATATGTTTCCTTTCTTTTTTATTTCATTTAATTTTTTTTTTTATATATCTGCATAATATTAATGGTTCTATTTTACACAATCTTTTGTATGTTACTATAAATATGGTATCTAGAAATTTTTTTTTTCGAGTTGATTTTCCTACTTTTCTTTTGTCCACTTACACTCCCTTTTGTTTTTTAAAATATTTTTTAATAAATTTTGTTCTCTCTCCTTCCTACTCTACTCTTACTTTGCATTAATTTCTTTTTTTACTTTACTTTTATATGATTTTTTTCTTTATATTTAATTTTCCAACTTGCACTCAATTTTCATCGGTGTTTTCAAAAGGCCTGGATGCAATTAGCAGATAAGTTGTAATTTATTTTGTTAAGTTTCTAATGTGGGATTTATATTCATCAACACGGCCCCTCACATGGGATCACCACATAGTAGGCCACACGTGAAACCAAGTCCATATTGGAGTCAAACATTCAAATCCAACACATGAGCAACCGCATATTGGGTAAGGTACTTATTAAACAAATTAACTTCAATACATGTATATATGTAGGAAAATATTTGTCTCTTTGCCATGGAAGGTTAGAAAATAGTATTTGTCCTACACCAGCAAGTCATAGGATCGTTATTAGATAAAGAAAATATGAAGAAATTGATCACACCCATTAACTCTCATAAGAACAACACAACAAGAAGATACAAGAAATATGAGAAAGAGACTCAATACTTAGTATGGTGTATATAAGAACCGTAACAGAGCAAGCATAAGAATCTTTTATTATTCTTTAAAAAATAAAATAAAATCCAAAGCAATATTAAGAGAGGGGAGAATCAAACCTACGAT